AGATGGGTTTTCTCCTCATGGTTTTAGAGGAGCTGCTGGCGTGTAAGCCAGAGCACGCTCAAAGAGCGCTAAAAAGCCGCGTCAAAACGCGGTGGTAAAAAGGCTAGAATCTAAAAGCTAAAAAGCGTAATTTGATGGTGTCCTGAGTATTTAAACTGGGCTGTGGGACACCTCCCAAATGGTGTCTTGACCAGTTAGATATTGTCTTTGCTCCGGGTGTTGTATGTTTCTCCTTCCAATTCATAAATCAAATGTTATCTTATCAGTCACATGGTCCGAATTTTTCCCGCTCTTGCAGAGTATAATTTTGAACATGATTTCTATAACATTTCAAGCAAGAAGATTCAAACACACACATACTAAACATGAATATGAACTCTTAAGCTATTCAATAGTTATTAAAAAGACATACACAATAAGTTATTAGAACATGACAGTCAAATGTGTGGGTTACATACATGATACGGAGTTAAGCAATGGACTGATATTCGTGAAGTCTTTTTTAGTTAATTTTGGTGCATCTACATCTGTAAAACAGTTTCTGTGCCATTCTCTGAACATAAGGACATGTTCTGTGATTTCAACCATGTTCTTGATCAAATCTTAAATTGTCTGATTCGGTCTGATACCCTACATTGTATAGCGCTTTTCACGATACAAATCGTTGCTAAGCAACTTTACAGCAAATTAAGTTTCTACAATATTTAGTGGTAGCTTATCAGTGGTGACTGTCAGTTAATGTATATATGGCAGAAATGTACGGAAAAATCAATTAACGACGTAATCAAACAGACGAACACTATTAACAGCAATTATTATATGATGCAATCAAACTTATAGCAAAATTTGGTAGTTCTGTATGTGGTTTCAGGGTTGGCATCATCTGAGGTCCTCTGAGGGGTTGGCATCATCTCTTCTCAGGTGTTCTGGATCCAGACTGAAGCTTGTGGATGTCAATCCCGTGGCAAAAACAGAGAAACAAATAGAGACATAATTAGCGTAGCTGCTGTTCCAACCAAACAAAATTGATTGCAATGCAGCTATTGACTGGCGGCAAGACAGCCCCCTGAAGGCCCTCCAGGAGACTCTGGTGTATATTCAGCAGGATTCTATATTGAAAACGTGCTCAGTTTTGGACTTGGAGTCAGCCTCAAAACATGGATACTTTAGGTAATATAGAAATTCTAGCCAAGACATATCTGGGAAAAAGAGGACATATGGTCACACTGTAGAAAGACATCATTCCTTGTCAAAATCTTTACCTACTTGAAAATAAAATAAGTAAATTTTTTTGATGTGTTTATACACATTATCACCATCATCAACAAAGTGAAAATAATTGGTGAAATACCTGGTTTGGTAAAGTGATCAGCCCTTTATGCCGGGTTCACACTGCACGATTCAGATCGCTGCTCTTCTCACACTTCACGACTGTCTGGGGTAGCACCTAGTTGCTGTTGTGAGCACATGACACAACGGATCGGGGACAGTGGGTCAAACATCACACAACTTCTCAATAGGAAGAATCGCTGAAACTCGTAGTTTTCATTGTCTACAAACTATGTTTCACAACCAAACACACTTGAGTATTGAAATGCGAAATAACATAAGATAAGACAAGACAAGAGAATGGATTTATCCGTCAAAAACGGTAGCCCGCAAAAAGCTTGCAGTCCAAGTTGACTGTACGCCGATTTGCAGTGAGAAAAAAAGAAAGAAGAAGAATATGAAGGACAGAATGGTTTCTTGCAGACGCCATATGTGCTGATGTTTTGATGCAGATCTATGACTTCACCCCCAACATTTCCTTTGTCCTGTATCTTGCTCTCTTATTGGCTGTTGGTCGTCACAGGTGTCATTTCTAGTCAAAACACATTTAACACTGCAGGGCTGTGAGTTGCCAACAGGTCCAGATATTTAGCATGCCAAATATCTCACAGGCATTGGCAATGCATTGACGCTTCTCCCAGATCACATCTTTCATAACAAACACTACGTGATTGTCACTCGCATGAACAAGCACAGATTTGTCAGCGATTTCCACAAAACTGTAAGAGTGTGAAAATCGGGGCAGAAATTGTGCAGTGTGAACCCGGCATTAGAGTATACCAGGGATAGTTAACTTTGATCCTGGGCTGCGTTCCACTCCACTTCCCTAAGCACTTCCCCTCGGGGGAATCCCCGCTGCCATTT